TGGCCGTTCAAAATAACTACAAATTTCAAAAGCGCAAACGAAGATGATGGACTTGTGGAAAAGAACCCAGGGGAAAAATGGGAAGAACATTCCGATTTAAAAACTGCAGAGGCAGCAACAATAACAATAAAAGTGAGCAGACTTCTCTGGCATCAAAAGAAAGAACATGCGTACTATAGATCTCAGTTCCTATGTACATTGAAGTGGGTGCATATAAATAGAGTTTACAATGAATTAGTTTGAAGCTGTTTGAAGGGGGATTTGGGAAGAGTGTGATATATAGCGGTGTGTGAACAATACAAACGATACTAATGATACTAATCAATCAAGAGGAACTAATGTGTCCACGTTTAAAAAACAATTTATGAATGCTTTTTAACGTATGCGTTGAGGCCAGGCATATATTACCATTAAATATTACTAAACAAACTTATTATTGGAATTTCTAGTTCTAGTTCTATTGGTGACAAAAAGATTCCATCTTTTTATATGGAATCTTTCCTGTCTACTTTTTTACTTAATATATACTTATAATTAATAATGAGATTGCCATTAAATATTTATAAATCGAATTATGCATTGCATTATTTCGTTTTAAGCTCAGCAACTCCCTTTAAGATATTAATACTGTCTCTATCTACTTTACGATTTTTTGTTGTTAATTACCATAATAATTATAAAGGATTAGTGTACAATAATTTGAAATTTTTCTTTTTCTTTCAAGCTCATCTCACGAGCACTGCACTATTATCGATTTTAGTGTTGGTAGAGATGGTTGACAAAAGTCGATGCCAACAATAAACAAAACGTTTTAGCAGCCTCTCCTCGAGAAACACCCGAATGCCCCATTCCGAAAACCCATTCCGCTTTTGAAAACCCCATCCACCCCATAAGACTTTGATAGATGGAGCGACCGAAAGTTGCATTATTTACATTTGCATTGGTGATGAGAGGGGAGGGAGGGGAGGGGAGGGGGAATTCTCAGAGGCCAGATGAAATTCACACTTACACTTCGCCTCGCATATCGCATATATATCCTCACTTACAGAAGCATGGGTGTGGATTATGCAGTTGCCGATGTGTGGACGATAGACCAAGTCCTACAATAACATCCCACGCATTCCCATCGGAGCACATAAATCTCGAGTTTCTGTACGGGGGTGGGGCAATCCCGACACCCCCCAACTCACCCACTCGGATATTAATAGAGTCGAGTGGTGGAGTCCAAGTCCAAGTCTCTGGCTGATCCAATGTTTGCGCTAATTTATGGCGGCGGATCATAAAGCAACTTAATGGCAAAACACAACACTTGCTCGATTCATTCCCAAAACCTAAAAATGAAATCGAATAAAACAGAGAAAGCTCGGGGGAGTGAAAATCTGTTGATCGTAAATTCATTGGGTGACACTTTTCGATTAGGTGACCTATTCAATTTTAGTGCTCCTAATTAGCAGACCAATTTGTGTCACTTCTCCTTTTCTAAAATCAAAATAATTGTATTAGTGTTCTGAAATTCAGATTGATGGTGTTTAAATATAAGTGTGTGTTTAAATATAAACATGTTATAATAGGTATGACTAAGACTTGTAAGACTTTAGACTTGGACCAATTAAATTGAAAACGCTGATATGTGCATTCTTATCTGGATTTCTATTACCAATACCACAATATAGATATGCAGCCTTAATTACTAGACTTTACCCATTGTTGTTACCAACGATTGTATCTATTGTTATATCCTTTCAATACTCTTAGCCAACTCCGTCATCAAGTTGAAGTAAATGAAAATCACATTTAGGCCAGCCAATTTCACCCTCTGTGATCCCCAAGTTGATCCTGAACCTGAAATCCAACCCTTTGCCCCCATGAAAAATGCTCTCGAGTGGAGTGGGGACTATTCCCATAAAGGATGCAAAAGATGCGCACAACATCCAAAAAAAAAAGGGGGAGTGGGTAGAGCAACATGCAATTAAAGGCAATTCAAATGCGCCACGCCCACCCAACCGCCCATCCGCCCACGTCGTTGATGCAAGGACAAAAAAAGGAGTAGGACTCGGCAACTTCCCAAGATGGGCAAACTGAATGGCAAGCAAATGCCTGAATGAGTGACAGTCTTAATTACAGAGAGATTAGCATTGGCCAGGAACTGAAAAGTGGAAGGAATCGGGAACAACGGGAGGAGGGGGTAGGGGGGTTGGGGGGAGGGAGCAACCAGGATGCAGACGTATTCAATGTCACGTTCCACTGGAGGACGACGACTTAGACGATAAAAGGGCCCAGCCAGGTGAGTGCCGACTGGAGAATGGCGAATGGCGAATGGCAGGTGCTCCAGCTAATGCACTGCGAATCCGAAAGCCTATTATCTTAACTGCTTATTAAGTGTAATTAAAAGTACAAACATTTACGTTCAAATTTGTAATGCAACAGATTGCACGTTGCATACAAGGCAAACATGAGCCCACTCTATGACCAAAATTGTTTCGTTTATGTGCATAAATAGTAATCTACATTTATTACATTAAGTACTGCAAAAATACTAATTATTATTTAAGTTTGAGCCCATGCCTACGAAGCTTAAGAATTCGCGAATTCAATTTTGTTGTTTTTTTTTTGGAGAATAATGGAGCTTTGGAATAATGAAGTTATATTGTTATTGTTAAATGGTTGGCGTCCAAAAAATCAGGATAATATCGCTGCTTTCGCACAGTGTGTTCCTGGTCCTGATCCTCCTTTTTCTTCCTGTACCCTGCAATCCCGTCTCCTCAACTTGATTTTCCCTCTTCCTTTTGTGCAACCTTTTTTTTCCGCTTCTTTGTTACATTTAATTGTCGCAAACGAAGTGGAAAAGCAAATGTTGCACAAACACACGCGGAACTGGGGGTTTTGGGTGGGGGCAGGGGAAATGCACACTAATTACTCCGCGACAGTTGAGGGGCGAGGGGTGGAAAACCCTTTTTACTTTTCCGCTTCTCTGCTCAGGCCTTTCTCACACTTTGTTCTTGGCGCTGCCTTGCTTTTCCTTGCCTCGCTTTCTTTATTTCTTCGGTCTTTCACTCAAGGGCTCCTCGTAACCCCACACCCCCCCTCATGATAATTGAAATGGCGAGCGCCCTTGGTAACAGGAGGGGGGGTGGTGAAAGTATGGGTGCCCCAAGTCAAACACAATAACCCCGTCCCCCGGGGAGAATAAATACAAAAATAATGAATAATAATAAAACAACAATATTAATAACTTGCCGCGCTGCGCAATCATAACACAAAGGGACAATTGAAATTACGATTTCGATTTAATTTCAATTGGCACTTGCATACTAAATGGACAATAAACAGAAGAAGTTGCAATTTATGGATGCCAAATCAATTAGACTATCGAAAACCCATAGCCAAATGTGCATAAAATACTTTAAATATTATAATCATCTTGTTCGTTTAAAATTGTAACAAATTTGATTATTATGTACCTTGAAAGTTTCGCACAAAGTTCAATGTCAGTTGGACTAACAAAAATCCCGGTGAAAATAGAAAACTTTTCTTTTATCCTTTTATTTTTTAGCCATTCTTAGATTCTGGCCATCGATCAATTACAAAGTCTGGCACGGACATTTAAGCCAAGTGCACACTCAAAGCGATTGTTCAATACATTTCCCGCTCTCAACGCTCCTTTCCTCCTTTTATTGAAGGGAAAAGCGAAAGGGGGCGTCCTTGGACCTTTATCTACTTTATTAACTAGTGCTAAGCAAGACGCTTTAAAAAGGGCAGCAAAATGAGCACGACTACAAAGAAGACGCCAACGAAACAGACGCAAAAACAGGAGCTGACATCCTGGCGATTTTGGTGCCCTCCCCAAGGATTAAATGACTTTGGCATCATATAAAGTTCAATTCAGCACAGTTATTAAAACAATGAAATAGGAATATACTTTTTGAATATTATCACCAAATCATCGGTATCATCTACATGTTTGGATGTATCTTTTAAAATAATTCAGATTTAGTGACTAAAATAGATTTGTCCAAACACAAACTCAAATACAGTCAACTTTCAAGATTCATTGTTAAATTTAAAAGAATCCGTGTTTCCCAAGGAGCCTTGAAAGTTTGTTCTGTAGCCTCTGGATTATTTGCTGGTAAATTAATTAATTACAAAAGGTCCAAAGCGGAGGAAAGTCAAGCTGTTAACATAAAATAAGTAAGCCAAATTAGATACCCAAGTACCATAATGCACTTTGTTTACAATGGAAATAAATCCATTACTTATAGAGTTGAAATATGAATAATAATAATATGAGTAAATACCTTTATTTGCATAGTTTGGGGTTCGACTGAATTTAAATTTGTATTCTTCGCGCGCGTTAAATGTCGAAACGGTTAACTTTTAAAGTGCGTTTAATACATTACATGTAAAAATACATTTTACACGAGATTTTACCGTTTTCGACCCTTAGTTTGGGAACACAAATTGGGAAAATAAAGATATGATCATCTAATGCATTCAGGTTGCTTAAAGTCCTCAAATCGAGTTAAACACTGCATGTACATATTTGCTTTTGCCAATTCACTGTTGTTCACTAATTACGTTACACTTTTTAAGCTATTAATATAATTTATTTAAGGAGACTACCAAGCGACTTCCTATTCCTTCAAATTATGAGTCGCAATAAAGCTGAATGCAAAACATGCCTTTTGACTCTCTCAAAAAGAGCTTTAAGTTCCGTTATAAACGCATCAAAGTAAGAAATTGAACAGTAAAATGCTAAACTTACTATCGATAGCAAACATTCACTTTAGATTGGGAAAAAAGCAGGAGATTGGTAAACTATTTATACATTTTTATTTATTAAATAATAACACATCATCTTTTCGATTCTGTGAAATTCCTCCGCATTGAATTTCGTTTGCGCTTAGAACGAAATTCGAGGAAATTGACCAGCTGCATTTCCTGGGACAAAATGTCTGCACCTTCAGTAAACAGAAAACGGGGAATCCCACAAAATCAGCTCGTTGGGTAGTACATATTTATTAGGGTGAAATCAAAGTGTTCTTATGCATATTCATAGGCTACAGAGAATTTAGCATTTTCGCGTATATACGAAATATCTGTACGACATACATTTAAAGCCGCGAATCACATCAAGCACGAAGGACGCTTGCAGCAGATCAGATATAAGATTTTAAAATGAGGGTTCATCATGGTTTATAAACAAAAAAATGTGTAAAATGAGTTGTGAGCTGTGATTAGCAACTAAATAAAGCTGCCACGCGGCTTGACTGCTTCTCCTTCGCTTCCGTCAGCTTTTATAACTTCAATTTGGTCCCGGCGGCGGCGACTCCTTACTTCTCCTCACACCACTCGTTCTCCTTGCGCACCTGCTCCTCCTCGGCGGGCGTAAAGTCCTTCTTGATGTTGAAGGTCTTGCGGATCTCCTCCGGAGTCTTGCCCTTGATCATATTGGCCACCGTCTTGCAGGTGAGCTCCAGTAGGCCCTTGATGTCCAGATAATTGGCAGCCAGTATGAGCTCGAACAGAGTGCCCTGGTCGACTTTCAGGAAGTCGGCATCCCACGAGATAATGTCATCCGTGCGCTTCTCCTTGCTCTCATCGTCCTCCGTTGGCTGCGGATCGTCCTTGTGGTAATGGGCCCAGGTGAGGACCTTGCGAAGGATCGTGGAATTCACATTGGGCAGCGGCACAATGGCATTCTCATCATCCTCCATGCCGCAATCCTCCAACATGGTCTTGATGGTTCCGGAGCATTTGGCGATCTGGATGTCCGTATCGAAGATCTCCTCATCAGACGATTGCAACTTGATGCTGGGCATTTTATCGTTTGATTAATTACGGGTTCTGGAAAAAGAGGGTATGCCAATAGTTAGATTCGGATGCAAAGATGTTTGGCAGTTGTGACTTATTAGCTTGTTCATGAAAATGTCCCACTTTTGGTAAGGAATTTCTGTTTTTTTTGATAAACCAGAATTAATATAAATAATTTGGTTCAAATTGGTCAGCAAGATCAGGTTATAATGATCATTTTACACTGTGTTGCGTATTTGTGTGAATTTTGTTTTAAAATTTATGTATATAGTGGAATGTTTCAAAATTTGGTGTTTAAAGGAATGCTCTCAAGCCTGCAAAATTAAACGCGGAAACAGAAATAGAGGCGTCTAAAACTCATTTAATATGTGCTTTAATAATCACAAAATAAAAACAGCGAAACACTTTCCAGAAATGCGCACACACACACACACACACACACACCACTGCACTGACTCACACGCACACCGACGCAGCCGAATGTTCGCGCTTGCATGTGTGGGTGGGTTTTCCTCGTTTTCCCAAAGGCGCTTTTCCCACCTTTTTGTGGTTTTTCTTTCCACTCACCTTAAAGAATTAGTTGCACTTTAAGTTGGAGCAGGAGCTCGTTTTGGGAACAACAATTAAACACCAATTCGACAAATCGTTTGCGCAGTAAAAAAAATAGTGTGACCGAGGGAAACTAGAGGTGGATAAGCATCGATGTTAACGAGTATTAAAAAAGCAAAGATATCGATGTTTGGCAGAGAGTCATCGATGTTTTTCCACCTCTACAAAACAAATAAAATGGTGGCTCTATGTCCATACTAACTATCGATGACTGCCAAATCGAAATATACTAACATTTTCTCCATCGCAGTTAATCGAACGGTCACACTCCTGGCATTTGTCAACGGCATAGCCGCGGTCACACTGGTGGCAAAAAAAAAACGGAATCATATCGCGGAAAAAAAAACGCGACCAGCCGCATTTTATAAATTAAGTCCGATTTAGCACCGATTTTAAGCCGTTTAGAAACTTAGAGAAGTTTGTGCAAAGGAGAACGTGAGAAAAGAAAGGAAAAAAGAAGAAAAAGGCATACATACATACGCACGTACACACGTCTCGCTGCGAAGGAATATATGTATCCGTCTGAGGGTGTGTGTGTTTGTGTGTGCTGCAGCTTCTAGGCGAGAAGGAGAGAGCGATAGATTCCCGACTCGCGACTTTTGGAGCGTCCCGAGAGTAAGCGAGAGAGCGAAAGCCATGGACGGCGTTTGGATGTTTTTGGGGAACAAAGGCGTCAAGAGCTAAAATGATTTGCCACAGCAAGTGTGATATATTTCGGATAAGCAGCAAAAGCCAAGCCATCCAAAACCAATTCCAATTCCAGTCCAGTGTGTCGCCGTGTGTATGTGTATGTCTCGACAAAAAGCCGTGGAAAAAGACGCACGTACACACGCACACAGAAGCAGACAAAGCATCGTTTTGCGAGTGCGAGCGAGAGGCAAGAGCGCCTTAGTGAATAATTCATTTAAGGTAAATGTTTACAACAATCGAAATAAGTGCAATAAAAGCCAGCAAGAAGTGTATAAACACATCAAAGTGTGTGTGGATGTGCTGCCGTATGTGTGTGTGTAACAGGCGCCGCCATTTTTCGTTCCCATGTAACGAGCGTCTAGGGTTGGCAAAGCGTTGGAAAATGCCAACAAATATAAAAGAAATAAACAATTTAAAATTTTTAAAGCTTAAGAATATCCCAGAACTGTTTAGTAAACCCTTAAGTTCTTCTTAAATCCACCCTGCCAACTAATTAATTTAATTTGCAAAAAAAATTTAACTCGGCAACCCTTTTTTCTACCATTCTCATGCGCATATGCTGCTCTCTCGCTCTGACCTGCGTGCGTGCATGTGTGCGTTTGTAAACAGCTGAGAGAGCAATTTGCAGCCGAAATTTATTTCCATTCAGAACTATTCGACCAGCAACAAATATTAATTTCCAGTCATGTTTCCGAGCACCACCCACCGCCCACTTGTGTTTATGTTAGTCTATAATTTGATTATTTTCGCCGACTGATGTTAGTCAAGAAAAAGAGTTTTGGTTGCCGCGCAGCTATAAGAAATATGCAAAATTGCAAGTTACTGTTTGCTGCGCATGAAAATCGATAATCAATTTTTTGTTGTGTTCGCTTTTTGTTCACTAACACACCCGCACAAAGCTATGTTTAATATCTTTGGCTATAAGTGTGAGTGCCTAAACATATACCTATTCCAGGATTACCGTATTGTCTTTGTTTTTTTTTTGTCGCCGATCGATATAGCTTCTTTTTTTTTTACATGTGCTTGTCAAGTTAATTGATTTTTTTTCGCACGTGTGTGTGCGTGTGCTTGGAGGGCCTGGAATGAGTACGAGCGAGAGGGCTGTCTGTCGACGACCTCAGTTACACTCCCCTCTCTCTCGCTCTCCCTCGCGAAGCCGTATGAGTAAAAATAAAATTACGGCCATAAATTTAAGCAGAACGAGATAAGTTGAATATATAACAAAAATTTGTAATAAAACAGCTGTTTATGCAGATAACCAAATACTGCAAAACTATACTTTGTCGCGAGAGCGAGACAGAAGAGGAGTGTTTGTGTGTGCAAATACTTTTGCACTTGTCCTAGTCCTGGAAAACACATTGCCATCTCTCTCTTAACTATGTAACCCAAGAACGGCAGCGTTGCCAGATGGCATTTAAGTTTGGGATTCTGTTCGATTTGAATTCAAAAACAGCTGATAATTCGCCGCGATTTTGAATTTGTTTAATTGGCTGCTACTTGAAATCAAATTTTAATAAAACAAAATTATTATAAAAACATTTAAAATATTATTGACATGATTTATGATATTTCAGGAATACCCTTCACTTATTTCCCTACATTAATGGTATTTTATCCTTACAGACTGTCCTGCAGAATGGTCGTCGGCTCGAATCACACGCGGCGCGGTGAAACTGGCAGCAGATTTACAAATAGCAGCAGCTCCAGTGGCTCAAACGGTGACTCCACCGCTTCGGCCAGCAGCACCACCAGCGCGACGTCTTCACTAGCCACTAATTCTTCGACGACGGCGGCGGCGGCAGCTCTGTTGTCGTCCATGTCAAAGGGCCATGGCCCGCCGCCATCCGCACCGCCATCTGCGCACCACCAGACGTCGAATCAGCAGCAGCACCACCACCCACATGCCCACTACCAGCAGGCGAGTCAACAGAACAACCACCACCCCCACCAGTCGCACCACTCCTCGACTGGCAGTGGCAGCGGAGGAGGAGGAGGGGTAGCTGCTGGATCAGGATCTGGATCGGTGGTCAGTGGACTCAATGGCTGCAACGGCAGCGCCGTCAGCCGCCTGTCCCAATCCACTGGGATGTCGCCTCGTGAACTTTCCGAGAACGATGACCTGGCCACATCGCTGATCCTCGATCCGCATCTAGGTTTCCAGACCCACAAGATGAACATACGCTTCCGCCCGCTGAAGGTGGACACGCAGCAGCTGAAGGCCATCGTGGATGACTTTATCCATACGCAGAACTACGATGTGGCCATTCAGCGCATCTACGATGGTCCGTGGATACCGCGACATCTCAAGAACAAGAACAAGATCGCCACGAAGCGGCTCCACGACCATGTAAGTGACAGTTTCTCGACTTGTTAGGTCATAGATCCATGTTTGGCGTATAATTTCATACATTTTTATATGCTGGTGGGTTTAGTTAAAAGCTTTGCTAAGTTCAATATTTGGAATTAGTGTATAAATTCTGGCACTTTGCAATTATTTCTGGATAATAGATTATTGGTTATGCCTGCTTCAAATTATATTTATTAATTGGAGCTTATTTTCTGTTGTTTTCCCTTGCAGATCGTGCGATACCTGCGCGTCTTCGACAAGGACAGTGGCTTTGCAATTGAGGCCTGCTACAGATATTCACTGGAGGAGCAGCGCGGTGCCAAGATTAGTTCGACGAAACGCTGGTCAAAGAACGACAAGATCGAATGCCTGGTGGGCTGCATTGCTGAGCTGACGGAGGCGGAGGAGGCCGCCCTGCTGCACTCGGGAAAAAATGACTTTTCGGTGATGTATAGCTGCCGCAAGAACTGCGCCCAATTGTGGCTGGGCCCGGCTGCCTACATAAATCACGATTGTCGGGCCAATTGCAAGTTTTTGGCCACCGGCAGGGATACCGCGTGTGTTAAGGTCCTGCGCGACATCGAAGTGGGTGAGGAGATAACCTGTTTCTATGGCGAGGACTTCTTTGGGGATTCCAATCGCTACTGCGAATGCGAGACGTGCGAACGTCGCGGAACTGGCGCCTTTGCCGGCAAGGACGATGGCCTGATGCTGGGTCTCAGCATGGGACTTGGTTTGGCCACCAGCGGACCTGGTAATAATGGTGGCTATCGCCTGCGGGAGACGGACAATCGGATTAATCGCATAAAGAGCCGGGCCAACTCCACAAACAGCACCTCGAACAGTAATAGCAACACAAATGATTCCACTGGCACCAGCGAGAGTAGCAGCACGAATGGATTGGTGGTTTCAGGAGCAGGAACAACTGGAGCAGCAGGAGCCACTGGAGCAGCAGTGCCTGTACCAACGCAGCCATCAACTGGCGGCAAGGAGGCCACTGCCGCTGTCTCTCTGCCCGAAAAGAAACTGCCCAACGTTGTGGTTTCCCCGCTGACAATGAAGGAGCTGCGCCAAAAGGGCATGACCAAGTACGATGCCGAGATGATAATGGCTAACGCAGCCTACCAGCAGCAGCACCATCATCAGCATCATTTCCATCACCACCATCATCATCATCACCATCACCACAATCATGGCCAGCACGCAAGTACTGGAGCCGAGGCCACAGCGGCTGTGCAGCAAATGGCAGCCATGCAGAAGCCAGGAGGCGGAGGAGGAGGTGGAACAGGACCTGGAGGAAGTGCGGGAGCAACAACAGTGGGCGGCGTGGCCAGCGGAGCGGGCTCCGAGGTTAATGGCGGTCGTTCCAGCAGTCTGCGCAAATCAATGCGGGTCAATAGCACCAGCAGTAGCATATCCACCGCCTCCACGGACGAGGTGGTGGCCCCGGTGGTCGTGGCAAGCATCCCGCTATCCATCAAGGCGCCGGTGGTCCTTGTGCCCCGCTGCAAGCCCGCCCAGTTGGCCATTGCAGCTCTGCATCAGCGACAGCAGCAGCAACGCCAGCTGCGACGCAGCGAGCGCCAGAAGGAGAAGCTCACGGACAGCGAGAGCAGCGACACTAGCAGCGAGCAGTTGAAGAGGGAGCAAAAGCACCAGGATCACCAGTTGCCACCGAAAATGTTCATTCTAGCGGAGGAAGCGCATCCGGAGAAGACGGGGGATAAGCAACAGGAGCAGCAGCAGCAGCAGCAGGAGAAGCGTGTGACGCGTAATAGTGCGGGAAGAGCCACTGCCCATAACAATAACATTGCAACCACAACAAACAGCAGCAGCAGCAACAGCAACAAAGCAACAACGATTACAAATTGTAATAATCATAATAGTAATAATAGCAGTAGAATTAATCATAATTCTAATCTTAGCGGTAGACTTAGTGTTAAATCGAAGAAGCCAGCACCAAGTGAGGCCTCGTCCACACCCTCATCCACATCCACATCCTCAGAAAATCAGCAGCAGCAGCAGGCAACGCGTCGCAGTCGCAGCCCGAGTCCCGCCTACAAGAAGAACCTTTTGGCCAGCTTCGATCCCGATCCTCCCTCCAACCAAACAGCCAAGCAGCTGCAGGAGCAGAAAAGGGACGAAGGAGGTACTAATCCACCGGCCAAGCAGAAGCGGAGTCGAAGGGCAGCTGCCTTGGCAGCGGCGCAGAGTATCCATTGCGAAGCCTTGGGCGGATTCTCATCGGGATCTACTGGTGGCCAGCGGAAGAGAACACAGCCTCTGGAAGCTGCCACCTCATCCTCCTCCTCCAGCAGCATTGGCAATGTTGAACCCCTGTTAAAGACGCCAGAGCGCAGGCTGAAGCTAACACTACGCATGAAGCGTTCACCGATCCTGGACGAAGTTATTGAACTGGGGACGAGCCTGAGCAATGGTGGAGCAGGCCGAAGTGCAGCGGCATCGTCTCATCGGGGAAAAGGAGAAGGATCAGATAGATCTGCGCTAAATCTAACCGGCAGCAGTTCCAACGGCATTGAGTACGAGATCCTGCGCATGGAGGGCATTTCCGAGCATGGCAACGATGACGACGACGAAGAGGAGGAGGAGGAAGAAGAGGATGAAGTCGAGGAGCCAGCTGCCGAAGAAGAAGACGAGCCGCCGCCGAAGGAGGAGCAGCAGCAGCAACTGCCTACCAAGAAGCAGAGGAAGAAGCAGCGCAGCTGGAGCAGGAGCAGCCAACACAGATCGCCAGCGCCGAGCAGTAGTGGCGTATATGGCACTCCGCAGAAAAAGCGACTGCGGCTGATCTTTGGCAACGAATCCCACACCATAGACATTCCACCAGCAGCAGCAGAGGGAGCGGGAAGCGGCATGGATGAGTTGAATAGCAGTGGCGGCGGTGGCGATGAGTCCTTCAATGTGTCGTATGCCAGCAGCACTAGTTTGACGGTCAATACCTCCACCAGCAGCACCAGTTCATCGGGCGGAGGAGGAGGAGGAGAAGGAGCCACCTCCTCCTCGATCGAGGCAGTGGATTCCTCCACAGTAGGCCCACCCATTGCTGCCCAATCACCCTCATCCACTACCAGCAGCTCCTTTCAATCGGCCTGCACATCGACCACCAACAGCAACAGCTATTTTCCCAATGGCAAGCAGCGCTCTGCTGGCGAGGATTCCTATGCGATGCACTACTATCAGCTAGGAAAATTCGCTGGCACCTCGAGTCCGGGACAGGGACAGGCCATTGTGAGCAGCAGCAGTGGGTCGGGAGGAGGAGGGGCTGGAGCTGGAGCTGGGTTCTTGAGCATGCCGAAGCACACTTTTGGCACCTGCGCTCTTCTGGCGCCCACCAGTTTTGCCAGTCTGCAAAATCAACCGCAGATTAGCCAGCAGAGGTCCAGCGGGGGAGGAGTGGTCGCCTCGTCCACGTCGGCAGCCCCAGGCTCCTTGCATCATCATCATAACAACCATCATGGCCAGAAATAACCAACGACTGATCTCCAAGCAAATTGACTATGCACAGCTGCCATTGCCAAGAGAAGAGGAGGAACAAGAAGGGGGATGGGGAGAAGCCAGGACAAGGATATGGATATGGAGGAGGAGCACCAGGTGAAGAGGAGGAGCAGGAAACGCAACGGTTGGAGAATAAGGTTTGCTGCGCTGCTGGCGTCGTTGCCTCTGCTGCTGCTGAACCTGTGAAACCGCAACCGAAACCCTGTAGAAACCTTAGTTTTAGATCTTAGTCCAAGTAGATTCCTTGATATTTCCTTGGTTTTTCATATATTCAGGAAGCAAAAAACAGGCTGACAAATTTGTTAAATCGAATCCGGATATATATACCTGATTATAACTTGTTTTTTTTTTGCTTTCTTTTCTATTTCTCTCTTTTTTCTCTTTGTGATTACTCCCCATTTCTCTGAATCCTTTGTGTTCGCGTTGCATGTGGCGTGTGTGTGTGTGTGTGTTTGGTGTGCTTCTTTTTTTGCAGGTGGAAATGTAAAGCTTAAAAGTAGGAAAAGGTCGGAGGAAAACGCAACGTGTTCCGAGTACGACAGCAACAGGAGCCACTGCAGCAGGAGCAGCAGCAACATCGGCAATAGCAGCAGCAGCAGCCACATCTTCAGCAGCAACAGCAACACCAGCAGCAATTTGATAGTTAAAAAGCTAAGAGTAGAGTTAAATCGCATACAAATCATGTACAGTTGAGAAATAACCAAGCAGGACGAGCAGCCCAGGAGCCATTTAAACAATAAAAAATGAGGATGGAATTTAAAAAAAAAACAATATTCTAAATGCAATGCACACAGACACAACAACGCAATTAGCAGCGGTTTTAGACGCCTTACAACCTAACGTTAACTTTATATAAAACAAATACCTTATATTTACAAAAGAAACCAGTAAATAAATATTTAATGGATACTTTAGAAAATCCCACAAAAGCCAACAATAAAACAATAGTGCAGCAGCAACAACATCAAGAACAGCAATATAAACAACTCAATTAAGTAATTATATATATATATACACAACAAATTTAATATTAATTACAAATTGAAAAAGAACAAGAAAAAAAGGGGAAAAAGAGAAACTAAGCAAACCATAAATTTTCACATAACAGAGTAAACTTGTATATATAAAACAAAAACGGAAAATAAAAATTATAAAGCCAGCGAAAGCGAAAATGATAAAACCGAACATACAAATAACTTCCTGCTAAACACAACTCGATAAAACTGGTGATTCAAGTGGTTCAGCGAGCAGGATTTTAAGTACACTGGTTTTAAAATATTATTTTAATGAATTAAATCAAATCAGATCACACACACAGGCACACCCATCATTTTATTCCCACCCACTCAATATTTTATTCATATTCTTCGTACCGCTATTTTGTTCTCTTTGAAGTTAAGTTCTAAAAACCCAGCAGATAGAAAACTAAAATCTAACCCATCACAACCACACACACACGAAATGTATTTGGCCCACACACCGATTCGATTATGTTTTTATTACCTATAGTAATAAATATAAATATGATTTTTAACGATACGATTATTTTTTGTTTACCTATAAGTTTAGTTGCTAGCATATGTAATTAAATCTTAATCATATTCGATATATATTATATACTTTATTCATATGTGTAACTACTGTGTATTATTTTGTAAGCCACCAACAACAATTTACAGCAGCCGCGGCCGCAAAACATTCATAATAAACTAAAAAAGAACATTTAGTTTTTACAAATGCATGGTTTTTCCTTCCTACCGACTGTTGATTTAATCATTTTTCACGTCACTTTTGCCATAAGAACTTGTTGTACAAAGGATTTGCAGAAACTCACGATGCTTCTTCCTTTGTCTCTTTTGCTTATTTAATTTTGGACAGTCTTTGTGGAAAACGAATTTCCTATTGTCTGCCATATTTTCAGTTTTTCTTGCGGAATTATTTTTTGGCAAGCAAATGGATAAGTCAGCCAAAACCAATTTTGTCTGTGATTACAATTTTTCAAAATTTCCATAGAAACAATTCTTTTTTAGGAAACAATTGTTCTAATACAAGGCACTTTGCCATCTTATCAGATCTAAAGATATATAATAGTAGATGGGTATCCCCTTTTTTTAAATTCTATTTTGTAAGCCCCAGTTATTGATTCTCAACAGTCATGCTCGTTGTTTTCTCCATCTTCTACAGCTTTTATTTTTAGCGTTACAAAAAGTTTTGTTTGTCGAGGAAAGCATGGGCATTGAGAACTCCATTCTTGGAGGCTGCCTATTCTCACAGATTTCCCCACATTCGGTTAAATCTAGGAAGGTATTACATAGGTTTGAATGTTCGGATGAAGCCGGGTGTTATTTTGGGGGGTTCTGGTGATCGAAGGGATCTTCAGTGCTGCTCCATCTGATTTTAGTGGCCGTACTTCTGGAAGTCCCATTCGCGGTTGTCCAGCGGACAGACCTGGCGGGTTTTCAGCCAGCGGGAAATGCAGTGGAAGTGGAAGGCGTGGTTGCAGACGCCCCAGGCCACGGTGCACTCCTCGCTGGTGGCGGATGCTTGATTTGCTTGACACTCGATGCACAGATCCATGATGTGGTTACGGCAAATGGCGCAATTGTCCACCACGATGTCTGGGGAATAGAATGGAAAATGGCGATTGGTGATTCCCCCGATCTGGAGTTGAATCCTGTGCATTACTCACCCCAGGCCCATAGTGCTACGGCATTCCACTATTTTTCATTTTTTGGTGGGGAGAAGGAAAGAGGAAATCATATTTTCAATGGCAATGACCAAACTTTTTTGCTGACCACTCACCTTTTTCACCTCGAAACGCTTCTTTTCGCCCTTGCTGCTGCTGGAAGGCACCTCGAATTCCTCCTCGTCCACCTCCATCTCGTCTGGATTTATCCTGTTTGGCCTTGGCAAAACAAGCAATGCTATCTCCAATTAATTCGCGTTTTTTTTTGCCTATTTAGTTTCGATAGTATCGAGTCGTCAATGGTAAGCGTGCTAGTGTGGCCGTCGACTGTTGGTGCTTAATCACCATCGGTTATATGATATCGATATACATATATATCGATGTTTTCGTACAAAACACAATACAACCGATTCAATACGGTCCTCGCACAACCGCGTAAAAAAGTTTTAGGAAAAAGGGATTTTAATTTGATAAAAGACCGTGTTCAGCATGATCACCTATCTATATTTTTTTACTACTACGTAAGAAATTTAACTGTGATCATTATGATAGTATTATTATAAAATATTATTTTTCGAGACAAAATAAAACAACTATCGGGCCACTTGCAATAATTGTACAATACAAATATACGAAAATATAATTTTAATAATCTTAACATTTTCTATTTTTCACATGTGAAACAAATTTTTTCCAACATATTTAGATTTTTAAAAAAGCATGTTAAATAACAATAAGAAAACCGAAAATATCGATTTTCTAATATCAGCTATACGATAGTTAACACGACGTGTTAACCAACACTATTTCGTTGTTTAACTGTTGTCCGTCGAAAATGCGCGAGAACTTGGCTTACAAATTTAATTGATCAAAAAATCGAGAAAGTAAATACTGGATTTAAGCTAAAAATGGTTAAATGTTAATATTATGAATTAAATTACAGATGTCGGATGACCAGCCTAATGACGAACCGGTTCAGGAGGAACTACGGTTTTGTGGTCTTGCCATCAACCATAAACTAAGAACGCCATACACCACAATTACCAATCCGTATTTGTACAAATTTGCAAAAAAAATCAATGACGCAATTCTACAAGATTCTCCAGTATGCGTCTCTTGCTATAAGAAACTGGTAAATTTGTATAATATCAAAAACAGAAATGCCATAAAACACAAGGAGCGAAGGGATCGTGAAGCAAGTTTTGCGAGTGTGAGCAGTGTTTTAGGTTCTTCCCTGGATGCCGAGAGCAACAATCGATCAAACGTGAGTTTCTCCGGAGAAGATCAATCACGAAACGGCTCACAGACATTCGCAAACAACATTCCATCGAACGTGAGTTCCTCCGGAGAAGATCAATCACGAAACGGCTCACAGACATTCGCAAACAACATTCCATCGAACGTGAGTTCCTCCGGAGAAGATCAATCACGAAACGCCCTACAGACATCCGCAAAAAGAAATTCCTTCGTACCAATGGCAGATTCATCACAATATACAGACGATGACTACGATGCCAATTCGAACCTTAGTCTAAATGCGGTAAATGGCACACGATTGCCCCACATCCAGCCCATTCCGAAGAGACGTCGGTTTGTTGCTCCAAATAAAGAAGTCATGGACATTTACTTGCAAGGCACCACTGGAGGCTAGCTGGAATTCTACTCCGGGTATTTTCATTGACATTGAAGTGGTTAAATTTTACTATTTGTATCGAATAAATCTTAATTTGTTTCTTTAATAAATATCATAAGTAATTGATTGAATAGCTGGAATTCTACTCCGTGTATTTTCATTGCCATTGAAATGGTTAAATTTAACTATTTGTATCGAATAAATCTTAATTTGTTTCTTTAAAAAAAAACCATAAGTAATTGATTAACTGGCGGCTAGCTGGAATTCTACTCCGTGTATTTTCATTACCATTGAAGTGGTTAAATTTAACTATTTGTATCGAATAAATCTTAATTTGTTTCTTTAATAAATATCATAATTGGTTAACTACAATGTTTTTATTTTGGCTGGACTACAATAAAATGGAGTATTTAGTAGGAGCCAATAGCTTACAGTAAATATATTCGGGATACATTATAAAGATTTAAGGTTCTTAATAGAATAGTCATAAATTCGGTCATAGTCATAATTAATAAATTAGTGGAATATGTGGTTTTTATGACTCAAATTTAAAATAAAACACTTATTTTCTTTAGAACACTTCTATATTTTCCACTCAATAAATTAGATTATTCAAATTCAGTACTCTGGCTCTGGCCTTCTTCATGTTGCCCTTGAGCCATCTTCCCTGCTAGGAGGCACCGCCCGTTTTGAGTCCGCTCCCCTTTTCCCGCTTCACCACCGGCAGTCGCGTCCAGATATATCCGCCTGATCTCTGGGCAGTATACTCGTCTACATCCGGCAGGGGGAATGGGGTGCTGCGATCGAAATAGTAGTTGCTGGGCGCGTGCATAACGAACTCCAGATAGCAAAGCTTTCGGGATAGCTCCTCGTCGGGTCCTGCAGGATAAGAATACGGATAAATAAGCTGCCTATAATTAAGAGTTCTGGGTACAAGCATCTATTAGGATTTAAAGTTGCATCAAGTTGTAACTTTAAATATAGCTCCAGTTTTATGTACCCAATTGTTTCGATTTAAAATACGTGTTTTTTGTTATTCTTCTCCCTGTGGAGCAGACTTACCAATAAGGTAGGTGGCCGGATCAAACCCCTCCTGGGGATCCGGGCTGTCCTGCGTGGGAATCAGCCAAGTGAGGAAGGCGGACTTCTCGCAATAAGCGTCCACGAGCAGTCCACGTACTTGGGCGTAGTACAAATTCTGATCGCCATCCACGATGCTGACAATGTCCCCGATTTGCATATAGCTGCCCTTGTAGAAGACGCTCTTTACAAACTTTGTGCAGGCCTGAACCTTTGGAGTCTTTTGGGCGGGCCTCTTGAACAGAGAGCGACGATTTCGGGCTCCGGTGGCTCCTCCCGGACCAGCTGGTCCGGACTTGCCATGCTTGTTGGTGTTACTGGGATGAGCGCCGGCTCCGGCGAGATGAGTAGAGCTGCCGGTGGAGCCATTCGGTCCATTGTTGTGGCCATTCGACTGGCTATTACTGCTTCCCGAATTTCCCTTGCCCGTTTGCTTGGCCTTGAAGCGCGTGCTTTTCCGCAGACGCTTCATTATGGTTGGGGTTCGGTTGGTAGTGGTGGTCACCTGGCTACCTTGGTTGCCATTCAGGCTACTGCGAGTGATTTTTCCCACCGGACGCTGCTGGCTGGGATTGGGTGGTGCCTCCGGCGAACTGGGTGCAATTTCCTCCTGGATTTGCGATGGCAACTTCACTGGCTTGTCCTCCTCTTCCATTTTAATGGCTGACGGCGGCGGGCTCGGCGGCTGGATTGGCAGTTCCATTGGCTTCTGCTCCTGTTCAGGCTCTGTCTTCGGCTCCTGTTCCTGCTCCTTCTTTACCTCCCGTGGCTTTGATTTGGGCTGCTTCGGCTGCTCTAGCTCGTCCACCGTGGGCATCCGCTCGTTGGTGGTCAGGTCGTTGTCTATATCCATGTCCGTGGAGTCCTTCTGTTTTTCGAAGGAGCAAGAGGAAGCGGCGGGATCAACTTGGCCCTCGTCAACGGAGGACTCCTTATTTGCGGGAATTTGGGCGCCGGGATCGGCGCAATCGCTGGCCATTTTGTCGGGATCGGTGGACATGGCTAATCCATCAGCTGATCAGAAAGCCTTTTATTTAGATTTGTAGCGTTTTTAAACAATATAAAATTTTAGCTAAGGATGGACCATTAGTTCGAGATGGAACATTAATTTGAGATGATCTGGAATGGTTATGGTATATGGCCGATATAATTTGTGTTATTTATTTTTTATTACATCTATTTTTAATATACATTACGTTAACTTTAAAATGTAGTAGAAGTTTTGAATTATTTACTTAACGTTTTGTTTTTTAGAAACACAAATCCTAAAAACAAAGTGTGACCGCAACCCCTTCAGTGGACACTTAACTGACATAATAAATAGATTGTTGTGTTGTTGTTTTTTTCTTAATTTTGTTATGTGTGTATATTATTAATGTAAAACTCCATTTTATCGTAATATTGTCATTATCAATATGTTTTAATGATACGATATTGAATGCGATATTTTAGCTGATAGATTATACCACTACGCATATAATATTTTTGTCTTCAGTTAAAAATGTAAGGCTCTAAATAAAATTTCTTAAAATGGCAAATATTTTCCAAAACAGTTTGCTATAATGTTTTAATATTTGCTTAGATCAATTGAATGATTTCGTGTCTAACAAATCGGCGTGCGCGAGACAAAAAAACAGTCACGAGGCCATCTCTACATTTAATATCTTTTTTATTCGATTCGGGTTCGGATCGTAGAAGATGGATTTCGGGGCGCTGCTGCACTACGCAAAGAAGAAGAACGATGCGGCCACCAAGGACGAGGTGGGTATCCTGGGGAGCAGGTGTTCTGACAGTGGCTGAACGTGGATACGCCAGCCTTTAGCGTTCACTGACCCCGATAACCAGATGGGATCTCTACAAGATCTCTACAAGATCTCCATAAGTTTCCACTACATGTTTGCACTTTTAGCGCCCTGGACAGGGCAAATACTACAGCACCAAGTATGCGCCCCCCAAAAAGGAGTCCAAGGAGTCCAAACAGCTGTCCAACAACATCCAGAAGTTCCTCCGGAAAAAGGAGGCGGAGGAGGCGGAACGAAAGCGAGAGGAGCGCCAGAAACTCAACGAACTGCTGGCCAAAAGGGATGAGAAGTCCAAGAATAAGATTCGTAAAATGCTCAAGGTGACCAAGTCAGCGAACAAGTCCGTTCTGGAGGATGCCAAGGACTGCGATGGAGCAACCGATGGCCACGAGGCGGGCGAAGGTCAGGGCGATGACTATGGCTATGTGTCCAACGAGGCGAACGCCTTCTACGAAAAGTACATAGAGAAAGTGCGGGACGTGCAGGAGGACAAGGGATTCGCGCCCAGCAGGCCGCAATCCCTGCGAGATCTCTCCGGGACCAAGGAACGCGTTAAGGCGGCCATAACCAGGGAAAGGGAGGAGGCCAGGAGTCACACGCGCCAGCGGAGCGGTACCAGCAGTACGCCATCCTCGTCCACCGCTTCCAAGTCGAGGGAAGCCAACGTGGCTCGTTCCTACGGCTCCTCGAAAAACCTTTACGATCCGGAGGCGGAGAAACGCGAGGAGGAGCGCAAGAAGCGGCAGGAGGAGGAGCAGCGCAGGGCTAAGGTGAAGCGACCAGCTCAGCCGCCACCCATGGATTTCCAGGCCCTCCTCCGCCTGGCCGAGAAAAAGCAACACGAACCCGTGGTCTTTGAGCCCGAGAAAAAGAAGGAGCCTGAGCGTTTGCTTTCCGCCCGGGAGAAACGCGAAATGGAGGAGCGCCAGCGGCAAAAGGAGCAGCGCGCCCAGCGCGACAAGATGCGGGAAAGCGAAGGCAAGGAGTCATCGGCATCGGCACCAAAACCCACCAACACCACCAATCGCATGGAGCCCAATGGACGCATACCCAAGCTGAATCAAGCCAGGCCGGCAAATCCGCCAAGTGAAAGCTTTAAAAAACCAGCCCCACCGCCAGCGAAAAGCAGCTCCAGCTCCTCCGGCTCCTCCAGTTCCAATTCCCATTCCTCTACTAGCCGTAGTCCTGCCTCAAGTATAAAGCCCGCCAGTAAGACAGCTCCCTCGGCCGCCAAGCCAGGAGCGCCTGCATCGGCGGGGGAAACCCAGCTCCAGTTCTAGTAGGGATGCCCCCTCCAAGAACCCCTATGCGGCGGCCAACAAAAACGGAGCTGTGCGGGAGTTTCCGCCCAGGGATCGGCCTGCAGTCCCGTCCAGGGATCGACCTGCAGTCCCGTCCAGGGACCGACCTGCAGTCCCGTCCAGGGATCGATCCGCTCCTCCGGCGGCGGGCAAAACGCGACAGTTTCCGCCTGCGGATGTGCAGAGATCATCGGGCGGCAGGCAGTTTCCGCCGGCCGATGTCAAGAGGCGAAAACCGCAAGAACAGCCAGGCAATAAAAGTAAGTACTAGTCGCTCTCCTTAATTTAAATTAAGCTTTTACATTGTACCCCTTAAGGACGCATTTACGACGACGAGGACGAGGACGAGTACGATTCCGAGTTGGATGACTTCATTGACGATGGCGACTGCGAGGAGGACATATCCTCGCACATCCGTGACATCTTTGGCTATGATAAGCGGCGGTATCGCGGAATTGACGACGATGATCGGGGGATGGAGTCAAGTTTTGCGCAGATGCAGCGGGAGGAGTTCATCAGCAAAAAGCTGGGTGAGTTTGTGACCCTAAAATAGATACCCCCTCCCCGCCATCCAAAAAGCAAGCTAATAATTGGATTTCACAGGTCTGCAAGAGGACCTGGAGGACATGCGCATGGAGGCGGCGCACAAGAAACAGAAAATGGCCAAAAAGCGGTGCAAACGCATCGATGACGACGACGATGACTAGTCGGTCGTGAAAATCTCAAATATCCGTAATGCGGCCTTGAACGGGGCATCCTCTACCATTGTGTTATTTTATCTGGAGGATGTTCCGAAGGTCGGGCAATGCTGAATCCGGGAGCTGTGCCTCTCGAGTTTAATTATTGGCCAGATATTTTTCAACTAATTATGTGCCCTAGTTTAGTACAAGCATACCTAAACACACACACACACCTTCCGCAAGGTGCGCCTATATATATATATATAGATAATCGTCTATTTTTGCAATCAGAAACACCCAACGTAAAAACTAACTTCGGCTAGCCGATGGCAATATTTAAATAATGGCAATTTTATAAAATATATTTCACTTTCGGTTTTCCTTCTGAAGTTTTCGCTTTCAATAAGAATGGAAATTGAATTCCATGGCTTATTGAGTGCTTTAATGACCCTTTGGCTTTAAACCCTCCAAAAAAGTGCTTCGTTGCCTTGAGGAGGGCATTTACATATTTACCCTGAATTTGTCATTCTTAAATAAAAACCTATTTTTATACACTGGTTGATTTAACGTTCTCTTTTTTTTTGTTTTTACCAATGAAATGTACTTTATATAGACCCAAATAAAAATTTGCAGAATCAATTCAAGGCCCGTCTGATATTTACAATTTGGAATTACTAGACCGGAAATTGATATCGTTTGGCTGGTTAATTAACCTATTTTTATGAAGTGAAGCTACATTTAAGTTGAGTTTAAATATTTACACCTGCATTTGTATTTTTCTGTGAGACTATTAATTGAAATTGTGTTAATGGAAGTTGTGTTTAATTTAATTAGTTAATTTTAATGAATTTTTGGATGTATTCATTGAGTTCATAAACCATAAAAACTACATATATATTTCGCCTTAGGTTCGTTCTTTAATTTAATTCACCCGAAATTTTCTAAAAACGAACAATTTTAATGGTTTAACGCAAACATATTTTACAAACGAAATCTTACAGTACAGAACAAATGTCAGTGGCTTATATACGATCATATCTGGCGGAGATCATGCTCCACAATTCCTTTAATGCAATTGTTTCCAGGGCTTAGATGAGATGAACCCCCCTCCGAAGCTAGTCCAATCGATCTGGCTCCACGACCACGGCACTTCCCACTCTTCTTCGATCGCAGACGGGATGTGGCTCGTTGCCCAGGATTCCGATGGCCGTCTGGGCGGAGTAGGCCTTGTCGTCCTCCAGGAAGTTGATGTCGTGACCGATGGCTCGCAGATAGGCAACCGTGTGCCTCGGCACATCCGGTTCCATGTCGATCTGCATGGGCGCCAGTTGGTGATGCAATCTCCCCGAGTTCACCGCCTTCTCAATGGGTTCGTGGAGCATGAAGTACCGGAGAATGGTCTGGGCCACCGAGGTGGTGATCTTGGAACCCCCGGCACCACCCACTATCAGCTTGACATTATCATGGGTGTCCACGACGATGCTGGGACAAGTAGAGGACATGGGCCGTTTGCCCGGCTTGATGAAGTTGGCCGGACTGGCGGGTATTCCGTAGGTGTTGATCTTTCCGGGCGTACTAAAGTCATCCATCTCGTCGTTCAGGATGAAACCCGTTTGGCGGGACCGCACCTTGGCCCCCAGATGACTGTTGATTGTGCTCGTCACCGAAATGGCGTCTCCGTTGGGCGCCAAAACGGAAATGTGCGCTGTGCCGTGATCCTCTTCATTGGCAAAGTTGGCCCCATAGTACGCGTAGTCCTGGAAGGTCCTGTCGTCCAGGATCAGCTTGCGGATCTCCGCAGCGAAGGCCGGGTCGATGAGGTTCTCGTACACCTCCTGCACATCCGCCTCGAAGTGGATGTCGCCCAAGTTGGTGCGATGCCCGTAGGCGTGCTTGAAGGTCTCGATCAGCCGCTGCCAGTACTTGTCCGTGTTGCTCGTGTACAGCGGCTCCATCACGTTCAGGATGAAGGTCAGCACGGCGCCACTGGTGGGCAGTGGCGAGGTGAACAGCTTGTAGCCACCGTTGAAGCGGGCCACCAGCGGCAACTCCCAGCGAACACTGCAAAGTTAGAGTTTCAAAATCGTCTTTTTACTACATTTTCAGGAAAAGGACACTTTTTGAAATGGCTATAAATCAACTCAAAAAGAAAAAACTAATTTGAAAGTTTTCACATTAATATCTATTATTAACTAGTTGAGTTATGGAAAGGTCATGTAATTCAAGATTTTTTAAAAGATAATCTTTTGAGTGAAGTAAAACATAGAAATCTAATGTTAATTAGAGTTATTTGTTTAAATTGTGGAAAGTTCCAGGTTATCTCTTTGCAAAGCTTTAAGTTATGTTATTTGTATCATGTAATTTGATCCTGTTTGAAGGACCTCGGAAAAAAAGACTATGTAAAATGTTGGGTAAAAGGGTGAGGTGCCGCAATACTCACTCGTATTTCTGCAGATCCTCCTCGGTAATGATGCCGCCCATTGCCTGGATGTCCTCAACCAGCTTCCTGCCCACCCTGCCGCCGCCATAAATGACCTGAGCACCCTCATCCGCGATGATCTCCAGGGTTTCGGCCAAGGTGTGGCGGTACATGACTTCGCCCTGCTTGTAGACCGCGTCCGTTTTCGGATTGATGAAGATCTCGGCCATGGAGGGTTCGCTGCGGATGCGCTGCTCCTCGCGCTCAAGGACTCCGGCCAGATATCTGGAGACCAGGATGCCCCGGCGGCAGAGATCAATGGTGGGCTGGAAGAGGGTCTTCCAGGGCAGGCGACCGTACTTGTCGTGCAGCTTGGAGTAGCCATAGATTTCGCTGGGCACGGCGACGGACAGGGCGCCGGTGATGTCCCTGTCCACGAACATGTCCTGCGTGGCGGCGGCGGGAGCCACCTCCCGCGCAATCAGCGTCTCCACGAAGGCCGTCTCCTTGGAGTAAATGGTGGCCACAAAGCCACCGCCCACGCCCAAGCTGTGGGGCAGCATGACGCCCTCGCAGAGCATGGTGGCTATGGCCGCGTCCGCCGCGGATCCTCCGATGTCCAGAATGGTGCCGCCCACCTCGGCACATCCCACGCCATTGGAGGCCACGGCGCCCATGCGGCGCGGCTCCTCCGCCTTGCCCCGCAGTCCGAAGACCAGGCCCAAGGTCACGCCCACAGCGGCCACCACCAGGATGATCCAGCACACGGCATACTTCTTGCAGCACCTGCGGAAGAGGAGGCGGACCGAGCGGGGGTTAGTGCCCCGGCGAGGGAGGATACTTCAGCTGGTAAGTGCGATCTGATCGGGAGGGACACTTGCCATCTAGTGGGTCACCGTACCCGACTAAAAGGTCACCAAAGGCGTCGAACAGCTCCCCATACAACATGGTATATCGCCTCTACCGGATTTCGGACTTAGCTACCAAATGGTGCTGCGATCGTTTCTTATTTTTACTTCATCACTAGTTGGCAATTTAAGTTTGCAAGAAACAGAATTTTGAATTCTTAAAAATTTAAATTAATTTGAACAATGCTGCCACATTATTTAACTGATTTTCGAATGGTTAAATGGGCCTTTTGTGTATCCTTCCCATACGCCAGTACTTACGACATTTTGAGTGTGTATCCTTAAGACTACGAACTTAAATTAAATTGAAGCAGGTAAAAAAAAAATTCGGCAAAAACGCCGACGCCGGATTAAATTAATGGCCATCGGACGGCATCGAGCGCCTTATATATCCATATCCATATCCATCCAGTTATCTGCTTTTGGTGGCCGATAAGACAAGAACCCATTCGAAATCCGTATCCAAATCCGCGCTACGTCAGAAATAGAAAGTTTGGGCTGACTAAGAGGCCGGCAAAAACCAAAGAAACGAAATCAGAACTAGCGCCTTAATTATATATCATATTAAATTATCTGGCAGGTGGTGATAAGCCGATTTAAGGTCAATCTGGAATGTTATTTTGAGCTAAAAATAGGGGGCCGTACAGAAAAACTAATTAATATCAATGAGCAATAACAGGGCTCGATAAGAAAACAAGTCTGCTGGACTTTAACCTTGTACTTGGCAAGAAAATATGGCTTTAATATCAGTTAGGGTATTTTTCATTGTATGTAAATGGGTTTTGTTCGCTGTATTTTTTCAAAATGTTTATTTAAAATAAATAACCGCCGAAAAGTCTGAAAAGTCTGGCAACGCCAAACGGTGTTAACACCAAATGGGGAATATTTTTCAATTTGTCTTAAAATAGTATCTATTAGCAATTATTATTATTTATATAATTATTTAATATATATATATGTATTGTTTTGAATTCTCTTAAGTATTAATCTACAGCTTAGCAAACATTTCTTATGGTGCTATGATTAAAGTGCATTTCGTATGTGGTTAACAGTGATGTGACCATTTTTCATTGTTCAACACATCTATGTTAACTAGTTAGCGGAGACACCCACCGGTAGTGGAGACACTAGTGTTATCGATAGTTATCGGGGCGAGGATGTACGTTTTAGGGAACATCGATAGCGACGTGTCAAATATCGATACAGCGATGTTTTGAAAACATCGGTGCTAGCATTGATGTTTCTCCACCTCTAATTTTTTTGTAAAATCGGCTGGGATCGGATCGGATAGATATATGTGTATATATGTTATGTTTAAATAAAAGTGAATCGTGGAAATAAGCTTAAGAATGAAAACCGGGGCGGAAAATGAATCGTGAGTGGCAGAAAAGTACGAATCAAAAACCAAAAAACCAAAGCCGAGTTTTCACACACACCAATGCAACGCGTTAACGCTGCACATATGCAAATGTGTTTGTGTGTTTGCCAAAGAGTGTATTTATATGTATGTGAATAAATATATGTAGATTTTTTCAAAGCGAAATCTAATTGGAATGGCAAACGGTAAAAAATAACACAAGGATAACTGTGCAACTGTGTGTGTGTTGTCTAAAAAAACATTTTTTTCGAGTGGAGTGTCTTTTTGTTTAAGTTTTTTTATGAAGCTGCAACGCCCACTGATTTTGTCTCTCTAAAAAAGAGAAGAAAATGAGGAGAAAGAAGTGGAAGGAGAAGAAGTGTCTCTCCCACTATAACACAATAACTGACAATAATTTTAAAAGGAATCTTTCTCTTACTCTGCATGTGTGTGTTGCAACGATTTTGTTGTTGTTTTGATAAAACCGAAAAACGAGAAAATATCAAAGAAAATTCATTGCGTCTGCGCCTCCAAAAAATACAACAAAAATATTGCAAAAACAAAAGACCAAAAAAAACAATTTTAGCCTTGACTAAAAGGCAAAAAATATAAGAAAAAAAAACAAAGTTGCAAGGCAGCATCAAAATACACGCATACAAACAAAATTGAAAAGGGCAAAAGCACAACAACAAAAACAACAAGAGCATTTGTAGCTGGAAAAACAACAACAAAAAACCACAACAACCACAAATACAAGTGCATGTGCAACCGGTTATTTAACCGCTTACTTTGAATTGGAAGTTGGGATCCCAATAGGAACCGATTGTGTCGAACTCTAAACCCAATTGGGACGTCATTCAAATGTTGATTGTAACTGTCAGTTTATTTAATAATAAACTTAATTTTTATCTTTGCTACCTTTTATTTTCCTTCATTTCATTTCCTTATTGTATTATTGAT